AAGTAGATACACCCCTTCGTCCCATCGTCTCTACTATCAACTCCCCCACCTACAAACTGGCTCGTTTTTTGTCTGAAATCTTGCGTCCTTTCACTGGAAAAAACCACCTCTGCGGTACAAAATTCTACTCACCTGGTATCGACAATCAAGGGTATTTCCCTGTCCCCAGACGACCTGCTTGTCAGTTTTGATGTAGTTTCCTTATTCACCAAGGTTCCTGTACCTGACACCATTGCAATCATTGAAGACTTGGTTCATCAAGGACTAAACACTGAGGTACCCCCCCTGGTGAGACACTGTTTAACCAATACATACTTCACTTGGAATGGAACTTTCTACAAACAAACTGAGGGCACCCCAATGGGCTCCCCCCTATCTCCGGTTATAGCTAACATTTTCATGGAGAAATTTGAGACTGACGCAATCCAGACTGCCACTCTGTGCCCAACCTTATGGAAGAGGTACGTGGATGACACTTTTGTCATCTGGCCACATGGCCGGCCTACTCTAGACCAATTCTTCGACCACATCAATTCCATACACCCAGCCATCAGATTTACCATGGAAGTCGAAACAGATGGCAAGCTACCTTTTTTGGATGTCCTAATTAAAAAGAGACCTGATGGTTCAATGAGCCACTCTGTCTACAGGAAAGCTACCCATACGGATGCTTATCTGAAACCGGATTCCCACCACCATCCATCACAGAAGAATTCTCTCATCAAGACTCTGTATCATAGAGCCCAATGCATATCCGACCAGGAACACATAGGCAGTGAACTCAAGCACGTACACCAAGCTCTTAAGGCTAATGGTTACTCCGACTATACAATCCGCAAAGCTATCACTCAAACCATGAAGAAGGGCCCTCTTGAGGAGCCTTTCAAAACCATCACTTTACCCTACATTGCGGGGATCACAAAAAAGATCTCCAAAATCTTGAATAAACACAAGATCCAGGTCCGTTTCAACACATTACATAAAATCCGTGATCCGGTTCCTTCTGTAAAAGATGTGATTCCGGACATACAATACCCTTAAACACGGTAGGACCAACACCTCGGCCGTGGCAGATCATTGTTATAATTCAGTAGGCTCACATGACATTGACTTTTCCAAGACAGAGGTTCTTTGTAAGCCATCTGGCTACCATGAGAGATTCGTTCATGAGGCTATCCACATATACAAGCACAGAGACAATTTCAACCGAGAAGATGGATTCTGGCTTAGCAATCATTGGAAATATTTGATAAACCATTTCAGGTCTTAATTGATTGTTCACGCTTAAAGTGGCTTTCAGACAGCATACATGAAACATTTTCGTCTCCCCCCTCCTCTTTTCAGAACATAGATAGACTAGTCCTTCTAAATAAACAGCCAAATCGCTACACGTGGCGCTAATGTTTTTAAATTATAAATAAATAAATACACCGTTTAAAAATAAATAAATTTATGCAAACCGACACACCTGATGACGACCGTTTGTGTTATGGTCGAAACGTCGTGATAATTTTTATTGTTTTATATATATTATTATTTTATTGTTTCCCTTCAACGTGACTTTACCGAAAGAACTAAGAATATGAATTACTGCAGTCACGAAAGCTTTAAATCAAAATTTAGCCAGTTATGACTTTACCTGGTTAATAACGTCCTTCCAATGATTTCTCAGTTTGTACCCATCTTCTCGGTTGAAATTGTCTGTGTTCATATATCTGGATGGCTTCATGAACAAATATTTGCTGATTGCCAGTGGGTTTGCATAGTACCTTCGTCTTGGAGAAAACGATTTCATGTGTGCCCACAGCGTTAAAAAAAATGATCAGCCACAGCAGAGGTGTTGGTCCTACCGTGTTTCAGATCTGCCTTGTGTTCGTGAACACGGTCTGAGACATGTCGCTTAGTTTCCCCAATGTAACTACTGCCGCAGGCAAAGCTTAGTTTGTAGACACCGGGGTATTGCATGTCAGGGATCACATCCTTCACAGATGGGATCAGATCACGAATTTTATGTACTGTGTTGAATCAGACCTGGATCTTGTGTTTGCTCATGATTTTGGAAATCTATGTGGTGACCCCTGCTATGTATGGCAAGGTGATGGTTTTGATTGGGTCCTCAGGTGGTTTTCTCCCAACGGTTGGGTTGACAGCTTTACGGATTGTGTGATCCGAATATCCATTCATCTTGAGAGCTTGGTGTATGTCATTAAAACGTCATAATTTGTCATTAAAACATTATAATTTTGCTTGCTTTTCAACATTCCTCCGGTTTGCTGATAAACCAAAACAATCGGCATATTTGCCCACGTGACATGATTTAATTTTCTTTGTCAGATGGTGGAGGGATAGAGTTAAAAAGAGTTACATTACACCTACACAATATAACCAAAAATAACTCAATTATGATTAAATCAATATCTCATTGATATATCTGCCCCTTCATAGCTAGTATTAGTTCGGTGTGAGTTTGTCAAGTGACGTATTTTCTAACAAAGTATTGCAATGCCTCTCAATTTGCTTTGCTTGAATGTTCAATAAAAAAAAAGACTCCAACTAAATGGACATGACTCACACCTGTGATAGAAACACAAGACACCCTTAGCCATCCTTCCTGGCTACTGCAAAACATCAGATTCAGATGTGCAAAATGCAGTGGGTGGTGATGAAATCTAAATAAAGTCGTACATTTAGTATTTTGCACCATTCTTTAAGCACGGGGCTATCAGGAAGGTTCCACGTTTCACAGAGGATACAGTTGTCTCCCAGTAGAGGATGATGTTGCTATGTGGCCTACAGCAATTAGTTAATTTTCGAGTAATTAAAACAAATGCCCGTGATGCCGTCATCCATGTGTCGTGAGGCCTTTAACATCCACGGTGAAGCAGGCAAGTATATTTTGGTTAATTAACCCACAACATTTACCAAGGTGGTCGCTGGCGTCGCGCACATTGTAAGCTGTAAATATGCTACACCCGTTCACCCATGTGCCCCGCCAAATAATTTGCATGCTTCTTTAAAATACCTGCCAGCCAATCACACACATGGGAGGGCATTGCCAGGTTCAACCACACTATGTATGTGTAGTGGGTTCCAGGACACGGAGACGGCAGAATAGAAGCAGCACTATTTATTTAAACCTTAACAAGGGTTACACTAGAAGGGGTAGCGGCCCCTCCACCCGTATAACTCAGGAACACACCCCAGGCTCTCTAGCCTAAGCTCTAGGCTCCCAGTTCCTCCTGGTAGGGCTCTAAGGGAGGCTATCAGATCCGGCCCTGGTTAGGCACAGATCTCGGCACCCCGCCGACCAGACCGGCCCTTAGAAGGACTCTGACTCTGGGGCTCTGGGGCCGCACCACTGGCTTGCTGTGCCGGCCCTGAAAAGGGCAGCGGTCACAGGAGTTCCAGGGTCTCACCTAGCTGGCCTTCTTTCTTCACTGGTTGCTTCAGCCTCGGGCCCCACACTCTGCCCCGAGCTCCCTGGCTCCCCGCACTTTATACCCACTGGAGCCTTAGCGGACGTTGTTGTAGCCACCAAGGTGTGGGTGAACCACACCTTCCCGTGCCATGTGTTTATTCCCCATAGCACCCCTACATATGTGTGTGTGTGATTCACCATGGCTGCAAAGCCCTTCCTGGTGGCACTCGCTCCATTGATAGCAGTGGTCACAGAGATAAGTATGGGAATTGGCCATTCCATCATCTATGACAACTGGAATTTCCTAAAAGATTCTGCCTGTTGAGTGCCTTAAATATGAAAGTAAAGAGGATTTGCATTTGTGACACCTTAGATGTTGTTCTGTATGTTTTTGTGTGACCCGAGTTTCTCGACCGAAAGAGACTTGCAGCGTCAATGTGCACTCGCAATTCAATATGATATGAAAAATGATAAGGAGGTACGTAAGAACTGCAATAGAATGACAGCCAGAAGAGAATGTAAGGACAGGAGGTGGGCAATTGTTAAGCCAATGGAGAATACTCACTTGTACAAGGATATGAATTTGCACAGTGAATCAATATATCTTGCTCTCATAATGTCGAGACTCTCTCAAAAAAGTCAAGAATCGTTTATGGAAGCATAAATTAGAAAGCTATTAGCTTATATGATGATAATCAGAGCTTCAATCAAAATAGAGCTGTCCAGGGCTAAGTTCCTGAAATATTGCCCCCTCTGCCCCCCACCCTTGCACCTGGCACTGACGGATAAAGCGGGCTGGTATCTAGGGGGTTAGATGGCCCCATAAAATAGTCTGTGAGAAATTAAGTCCTAGAAATACGCCTGTAGTATATTTATTCATTTGGAGACACGTGAATGTTTTTTTTTATAATTCCCAGAAGAGAGCAGTTTGGCATTCAATAACGTTTCAGAGGATCTACAAGCTTGGAACGGAATGTATGCATGTGGGCACATGTGTGTTTGCATCCAGAGAGGGGAACGGTGGCCCAGTGGTTAGCGCTCTGCGCTACGAGCCTGTCAATCCGCGTTCGATTCCCGCTTACAGCTAAAACCAGTGAAGATTACCTGGACCGATCCTGGGCCTCCCCTAGGTCGAGTCAACCTCAAGTGAGTACAAAGGCAGCAGGGAGTAATGCTGGCCACCCACCGCGTGTGCTGTGCCAGCCTTCATAGGCGCTCCCTAACAACACTTGCCCCAACATGCTGTTCAGGTCTTTGTCTTTGTATCCAGAGGCTATAAATCACAAAGGAACTAATTTGATTTGAGATTCCTTTCATATGGTTATAAACCATTAGGAATAATTCTATTTTTAAGGGGAACATGGTAATAGAATTTATTTATTGATAATCCACAAATTTGTTGTTTTGAATTCTAACCAATTCGATCTACCATTCAATTTTCCCCTATCTTATCAACAGCATCCACTCAACATTCATTACAGGACAAGTTTAGAAAAAGGATAGTGGTGATGTCATAGATTTGTGATAATAATAATAACTGGTTGGTTGTGGGTGTCCATGTGTGTGCAATTTCATGACTCACTCGAGATCCCATATGATGCAAGTGCCATCAGTACTGGCACTCACACACTCCTTGTCATTGTGCTTCAGGCGGATGCAGCTGATGGACGACTTGTGTTCCTTCATCGCCTCCACAAGCCGCTGACTCTGGGTCCCAAGCTCCCAAACACGCACCTAGGAGCAAGAGCCATCACGCAAACTCTGGTCGTTCTCACAGCGGCTTGTGGCTAACCATCGAACAAAGATGGTCACGGCATCGTGCGCTTCCAGATGCGCTTCTGTGGCCGTCTGGAATGCTTGTCCTTCCAATATTAAGAAACCACTGCAGCTGTGCACTTTTAAACCTAGATTGAAAACTGATTTCGTTGAAACTGTTGTCCCTCACCCGCACATCTGATTAACATGGTTGGCTAGTCTGAAATAAGTTCAACATACATACATAACATTAATGTTTTATCCGTAAAAGCTTCAACTGAATTGCATTATCCTTATGGAGGGTCTCACATGGCACGTGATTAGTTCCTCTTTTAAGCGTTGCCACATATGGGAAGAAACACGAGAGACCAGACCCACAAACCATCATCAGCCATGATCAAGCGACTGCTGGATGAAGGCATCCACAAGCTGATGCCATCTCTCACGGTCTTGCGATGAAACTATCCATCTAGCACCTGCGCATGAGATTTTTTTCATCACTGATGTCCACTCAGTTATATTCTCACCTTTGACTGCCACTCCATCATGAGCCTTGACCACCAGCCATCATATTCCAGATACCAGGGTATAACTCTAAAATCTATAGCCAGATCAGAAAACTACTTGTTGTACTGCTTCTTATGGAAATTCTGCTGAAAGTGGGTATCTCATATACATGAAGACATGTATAATTGTTTGTTGCAGTTGCACCCGATTCAAGAGCCGAATGGCTCACAGGGCTATACCAAATAAATGAAACTGAAAACTGAAAACAAAAACCACCTTCAAATTGGCAGAACATGAGTTTCTCGCCACCACACTCGACTGTTTTATCAAAAAAATAAAGCCATTAAGAAGCTGTTATATAGTTAGCTAAATACTAACTGAGGAGCATGTTTTGCTTCAAAAATAATAACATGATCAAGCAAGGCTCAAAAACACGATGGTATAATATGGTCAGCTATAGCATCCTATAATTACATTTGAATGACATGGGAAAAAAAATAAGAATTAACTGTAGAAGTTTATATGCTGAAATATCTAAAGTACTCTTGTTTATCAACAACCAAGCAAACACATACTCTTTAAGGGATGACAGAACAATTATAGGTGGTGCCAAGTGCCTAATAATTTTAGGGAAAAAAAGGTGTCGCTGTGCCACTCATAGCTGTGATGATATGGTAGGCAGAGAGTAGGTAAGACAGTATGTATTTTACAGTTTCAGTTCATACTATAAATGTTCTATGTTCCTACAGGGTAAACCACACTGCCCGCAGGAAAAACACTTTATTTCCCAACCTTTACTGCATGATTGTTATTAACATCATTATAATTATGAACAAAACACTATATATTACAATTGCACTGTTAAAAGCTATTCTTGCATGTGGCTTTTTGCATAGCAACGCATACATTCACGTTCATGTCTGGTGGCCAAAAGCAAAGCCTTGGCCAAAGCTGAACGGATGTCTTCAATGCCTTTGCTGAATTTTAGGGATTCACAATGGTCCATGATATGGTCCACTGTGCCATTAAATTAATAAGCAAATAATTATTATTTCTAGAATTACATGCAGACACAGACCCTCACAGCACAACGGAGAAGGGCCAAGCAATGTTATTCCTGCATTTACAGGCTCCTCTTGTCAGGTATCACGATGTTGCGTGTCATCGTGCTTTATACTGTATGTATGTAGGACTAAATTTATTACAATGAAAACTTTTTGGTGACCTGGATGAAACCACCATATTTGCTACAAATGATAATCTTTTTCCTTGGTTGATGCCGAAGAAAATAACTCGGTGGTGTTGACATAATGCTCTGCAGGCATGAAGTCAGTTCATGAAACAGATGTTCTCATGTTTGTATCTAAAATCCACTCCAATGGTCAGCTTAATAAGAGGGACCTTTTCAGGTCCTTCAGACGTAAAGTGTCATTTGTGGGCTAGAAACAATTTGGAGAGAGGCTTTTACCACCGCTTGTTGATGACAGAAAATGGTCAGAGACTAAATAGCACAAAGAGGTCAATTAGAGCAACGGTCCTGACCTGGCCCTCTCCTCCACCGCTGATGATCCGTTTGCAGTCACCGGTCAGGGACACTGTGGTCACTCCCATCCCGTGCGCGTTGTCGATGATGTACATCAACCGCCCGCTTTCTGGTGTGAACGCTCGGATCTTACCATCGTTCCAGCCTGCAAGCACAAAGCATCCTTCGTGTGATTCGCTCAAAGCAGCTAATATAAATATACACGTGTTTTTGACCTTCTGGGTCGTATCAGCATGGAGCGGCTGTACTTTGTGCCAATGTCAGGGCTTAATTTATCACTCGATATTTTCGGAAACACTGCTGCGCTGGCTAGGAGTGAATATTTACGTGCGTAGGGCACTATCACTGGAGTACAATGTACGCCTATCCATAATAATCCTATATTATTGTAACCTGCATTCTGATAATGTTATGTACAAGTTTGGGACTAAATAAGGTGAGATGAAAGTGGTGTCAATTAAATTCTATGAGCAATATCCAGACTGGTCCAGATGGCATCAAGAACAGGCTAACATGAAAATCCTTGAAATGTACAAGTATATGTAGTAAAACATTATGTTGGCTTTAGAGGTCAGTATCGGAAAAATTAAGCATGACCGCAAAGGTACACATCATTGCTCTTCGTTCGGTTAATGTGCAGTCACATGTTTCTCTTAAGGATAGCAGAGACTATGAAATGGGACAACAATACTCCTGGCAGCCTCTGTTAACCCATCACTGGTGGTTGTTGGCACACGGTGATAATTTTCATCCAGAGTGGACCTAGGTAGATACCACAGCTGGTTCAATTACATCACTGAGAATTGCTTGTTGCGCACATTGTAAGATATTGCTGCAACGAGACTGTTGGCCACAGTAGTAGGCAAAACATAAAATGCTTGAATTCAGTTGAAATTGACAATCATACCTGCCGATGTTAGTAGTTATTTTCGACTCTCTGGTGTTGCATTAACAGGTCAAATGTCTCACTAACACAGCCACCATTGCTCGTTTTCCTCGATGTGGCGGTGGCTCTACGATCTTACATTGACATGCTAATCTCTCACAATACAATGGCCACCTCCGCAGCTTCGTCGTCGTGAAGAATCCTCTCCGATTTACCCAATCTTACATTTACATGGAAATTTCATCACTAGCCCCGCCCACATCGCTTATGACCCTTGGGCTACACCCATCTCAAACCTTTATAACATCCTGCCTCAGCAGCTCTCCCGCAATTTTTCACCTGATGACGATTGCTTGTGTTGCGATCTAAATGTCGTGATATTTTTTTTCTATCTACATGGCTTTACCGAAAGACCCAAATAATATGAATATCACGTAGATAGGTTCAAAGAAATTGTAAAAAAATAACAAAAAACTACGACGTTTTGATCACAACACAAGCGGCTGACCATAATTTTTTGTTATTTTTTTACATATCTACGTGACTTTACCAAAAGACCCAAAGTCCACATTGTACGTGTTTCAAAACACATAGCAGTGAAACAATGGACAACAACACCACTCTTCTATGCTAAGAGCAAGACTGTGTTTCGCATTATACTTCTCGTATAAGTGTCATGGTTTTTTTGTTCGTATTTATTTTCCAATTTACTCCTATTGTGCTACTGAAAAAAAAAATTCCCATCAGCCGGATGAAGGCCTCCCAAGTAATGACAATTTCTTATGATCTTGAGATAGAAAAATCCACCTCGCCTCCTGCATATTAGCTTATCTCGTTGTTCCATGTCCGCGGTGGACGTGCTCTCAGGTGTGTTCGCTCCTTTTGCTTTGCCACTCCATCATTCGTATTGACCACCAGCCATTATCCATCCTCGGGACATATCAGGCCAAAGCCCACACGCTTTTTGTAATGGTCAGTATGATGTCTCCAACTGCCTTGTGCTCTCTGATCCACGTCTCCGTGGAGTTCCAAGCATGTCGCCATGTAGACTATAGAGAATCTCGCAGTCTGTGGAATGGTATTACTCCACACGCCACTCTCACTCTAATGCGGCACTTGCGACCTCACATCGTAAGCACGTGTACACCTCCCCAACCAAAACATGTTTTGTCCCGCTGCCCCTCGGACACATTGCACTGCTGATATTCGATAAGGCTCCATTTAAAATGTGAAATTGCTGATCTTAACTCGCGTGTGTCAAGGTAGATGTGTCTCTGTGTGTAAATACTTTCCCATATCCCAAGATAACAAAAAAGTCTTTAATAAGAGAGTGCTGCAAATTCTATTCAAGAATCGTGTAAAAACATTCACAATTGTGGTTGGGATAGATACTTATATCTCAACAAATGTAAACAAAGATCCTTACCTATAATTGGTTATATATTAAGCTAAGAGTTATAGCACAGATTAAATGGTAGGCATGATTTTGATTTAAAGCTTTCGTGACTGCAGGGATTCATATTCTTGGTTCTTTCGGTAAAGTCACGTAGAAGGGAAACAATAAAATAATAAAAATATAAAACAATACAATTATTACGACGTTTCGACTGCAACACAAGCAATCATCATCAGGTATGAAAACCACAGCAAGAAAATTTGAAAAAAAAAATAATGATTGCTTGTGTTGCAGTCGAAACGTCGTGAGAATTGTATTATTTTATATATATATATTTATTATTTTATTGTTTTCCTTCTACGTGACTTTACCGAAAGAACCAAGAATATGGTAGGCATGACTTAAATATTAATATACAAATTTATTTTCGAATTTCCACCGGTATTGCTGTCCTGCATGCACACTTTTCATTTTCTAGCTCTACTGATGTGCCGCCAAAGTTAAGTGCCAGTCGCATACATTGCACGCTGCTTCTCCGATTTTCCATTACCAGGTATTACAGTTATTCGTGGTACAAAATCAAACGGTAAAGAATGAACATGTGTGACCTAGAAAGCAGTAAGCTTGTTTCAAAACACATCCTTAACTTGTACGCATGTCACTACTCTGGATGTAAGAGAGGGCTTGGAATGCCCAACACATTCCCAATATTTGCACACTAATATCTGCTCAGCTCTTGATCTGTTTTGTCTTTGTGGATGTCCATGTTTATGATACATATGTCACTGCAGATAATACATGGTGATCAACACGCATTTTTGTTCAGGTACATTGGTACGCCCTTTTCATTCACTGTTTAGTTCCGTTTCTCAGTAGAACTCCGGCCTGCTCTTGCCAGCCTCTACAGTTCATAATTTTGGCCCTGGTCAACCTGTAATAATAACTGCCCTAGGTACCTACAATCTGATATATTCCGTGTCTTGAATGGTTTAGTGAAGTTTGTTGTGCATGATGCCATATATCGCATGGTTCAGTAATCTGCAGGCTCGCTGGTAATGCAAATGTAATAAGAAAAATATGATTATGAATACCAGTTTTAGGAGTGGTGGACTAAAAAGTACCGGGGAAGTAACTCCCAGCATGCAGGTAGAGACTCTACAACCTCTAAATCTATCCATCTGTATGTTTTAATAATTCTTTCTAACAATGCCTTCATGATTATATTCATTGTTATAACATATTGTTTTTCTAATTTTACATGTGTGAACTGCTGCAAACTATTTTCAACGGTTTTTTTTTTCCACCAGCATATCCATTGCAATAATATTCAGCACTGCTCCCACCTTTTTTCCAATTCGGCACAATACGGGTTCATGCTTTCACATGTTATAAAGGCCTCTGATTACAGCACTCCCTTGACTGTGCTTTTTCCACTATGAAATAAAAAAAGCTACACTTTTCATACACCAATATATATTTATGAACACTTTGCCTGCTTTGAGCTTCTTCAACATCCCTATCCTTTTTTTTAGCAACCTAAGTTAATGCACACAGCCAAAACGCATTTGCCCAAAATGCGCTTTACAGTCTGTTTATGCAAAGTATATATCATGTTTACATGCGTGAATGAACTTACACCGATTTCACATTACTGCCAACAAAGAACATTGTATACTGTATTCAGCATACATTTCCTATACATGTGTAGTGACATGTGGTGCCGGCCCTAGAGAGGCACGGCGTGCGATGTACTCACATCGCGGACACCCCGTACATGTGGGTGTAATACCAGCCCTAGAGGGGCTCGGTGAGCGCTGATAGAGAGCGCTGAGTGGCACCACGCTCGGCGTGCAGTGCTGTCCCCTATAGGAGGGGGTGTGAAGGTGCACGTGACGGGTAAGATCTACACAGGGGCCCCAAGTGGGGGGGGGGCTAGGGGTGGTCACGTGTCGGGGCGAGATTCTGCTAGAGGGTTCGAGAAGGTGGTCGTGGCCTAGGGCGGAGTCAGCCATGACCAGTGAGGATATAAACCAGGTCCCCAGAGGGACCCAGGTTCAGCGTTGTTGTTGTTGTTATCCTGAAGATCTACGTTCTACGTCCGAAAAGAGTCACCAACACATGGACCTGGACCCAAGCCGGGGTCCTGTCCATTGTAGCTCCTCCCAGTGTAACTAGTGTAGTTAGCCTGGTGGTTACGTAGCTAGTTACAGTGTAATTCGTGTAGTTAGCCTGGTGGTCCACCACTATAGTGTGTAGTTAGCCTGGTGGTCCACCACCATAGGCTGTTATCTGGTAAAGGGGCATTTATCCCTTTGTGTTGGTATCAATAAATGTGTTGCCTCCAAAGAGGACGTCTGCGACTCAGTAGAATCCACTACACATTTATGAGGGTCTATCTATTATTCACTTTGCAGAAAAATCATGCATGTCGTGCGGATCATAATTAACAAAAAAAATAATGATCTCAATTGGGATGTGTGATTATAATCATACAATATTTGCTTTCTATATTTCTCTCCACATACAATAATTAAAGTTTTTTTTGTACACGGCATTCTGGGAGTGAATAATTTCAGCAGCATTGATTCAGTGCAAGCAAACTGTAGACTGTTTTTTTTACATATATTGTTGCTGATATTATGCCTCTCAGAATCCTGTGGGGGCAGATGGGTTGTGTAATCATATTTTTACGCAGAAACATGAAGGAGACATAATTGTCTATTTTGTATATTTGTAAGTATGCTTTTGTACATTCAGATACCTACGTGTTTGCACTTTACAATACATATAAATACATACATTTATAGACATACACGGCATTTCATTTAACAGATAATGGTTTCAGATGACACATGTGTAGATATAACCAATGTCCTGCACAATATGAAAACAAGAGGAAGCTCCAGAACTAGATGGCATAGCTGTGGACATCATTAAAGAATCAGGACCAACTGTTGTAACAAAATTCGCGGACCTATTCACTAAACGTTTCTACAGTCTGCCACTGCTGCCTAAGCCACTGCTGTCATTCAATAACTCACCTGAAACCCAGCCCTTTAGGAGCCACGAGTGATACCACATTGATTTCTCGTTGCAATGGGCTCATGACAAATGCTTAATGGTGTTTTCAGTATCCTTGTAATAGCTTGCCATGCTACAGTGCTATAGATGTCGTCATTATTATCATTTAAAAAAAAAACTATTTAGAAGTATAGAATAAGATATCCGTGAACCCACAGATAATAGTAGATAAATGCAAGATAATTTCAATGAGTCGAAACTAGCCTTCGTCAATGTTTGTGTAAAATCTTGATTTGAAGCTTTCGTGACTGCAGGAATCCATACTTTTTGGTTCTTTCGGTAAAGTCACGTAGGTAGAAAAAATAATAGATGACGACGTTTTGATCGCAACAGCAAGCGACCGTCTTCAGGTGAAAAAAAAACAAAGAGTATGTTTGTGTAAAGATACCACTGTGTGTGTGTGAGCAAGGCACACTCTTTCAAATCACTAATCAATTGGGATGGGTAGAGCACTATATTTCTCCTTTAAAGTGCTTAACAAAATAAACAATAATGCTTTTATTTGCTGTTTAAATGACATACTGTCATGATTAAACAACAGAGATTAAATGACACGGTTCTTGGAGCTACTACACCAGCAATACACAATAACCATATAACTCAGTTGTCTTATCCAATATCTGCTGTCCACTTAATGTTGTCAGAATAAAGGCTTCTTGTTGGAAATTCAACCGTGAAATGTTTCAGGCTGAAAAACAGCCTTTCATGCTGCTCAAAATTACACTTTTGACAATAGTCTCTTGCCTCATGACATAAATTAAATGTGTCTTTTCAAGATCACAGCATGTGGTAGTGTGTTATGTTTTATTCAGAGGACTGATGTGCAACCAGCCGAGTAATCAATTATTTGGGGTACGATGCAGTCAATGTAAATAAAAAATGTCAAAGAAAACTTTAAAATGTATTACACGATAAACAGAATGAGTTATAATATAATCGTTATTCACGAACTTGCTATCCGTGACTTTGGCTATCAGCGAATGGCATCTGAAACTCTACGCGACTGCTTCGAGAGAGAGAAAGTGATGAGAGACAATGTGATGAGAAAGTGATAAGTGATGATGCACGCAGCATCATCATAACTTAAGGTGAGTTAATTTATAAACTATTATTAAATATTGACTTAAAACTTTCGTGACTGCAGGCATTCTTATTCTATGGTTCTTTTGGTAAAGTCACGTAGATAGGACCAATACTTCTGCCGTGGCTGATCATTATTTTAATGCAGCTGGCTCACACGAAATCAATTTATCTAAGACGATGGTACTTTGCAAGCCGACTGGCTATCAACAAAGATTCGTTCATGAAGCCATCCATATTTATAGACACAGACACAATTTCAACCAAGAGGATGGTTAGAAACTAAGCAATCATTGGACATATGTCATCAACCACTTTGGATCATGACTTTATTTGTGTTTTCTTGTCAACCTCCACCACCAGCAGTGTGGGTGTGTGGAGCGAGATGCAATGCTCTGATTGGTGTAGACCTACTGCCGGTGTCGGAGCCCTCTCCTACATTAACATTAGCTGCCCCGCCCATCTCTGAACCTTAAAAACAGCTCTTTGATTGGTGTAGACCTACTGCCGGTGTCGGAGCCCTCTCCTACATTAACATTAGCTGCCCCGCCCATCTCTGAACCTTAAAAACAGCTCTTTGATTGGTGTAGACCTACTGCCGGTGTCGGAGCCCTCTCCTACATTAACATTAGCTGCCCCGCCCATCTCTGAACCTTAAAAACAGCTCTTTGATTGGTGTAGACCTACTGCCGGTGTCGGAGCCCTCTCCTACATTAACATTAGCTGCCCCACCCATCTCTAAACCTTTATAAACAGCTCTTTGATTGGTGTAGACCTACTGCCGGTGTCGGAGCCCTCTCCTACATTAACATTAGCTGCCCCGCCCATCTCTAAACCTTTATAAACAGCTCTTTGATTGGTGTAGACCTACTGCCGGTGTCGGAGCCCTCTCCTAAATTAACATTAGCTGCCCCGCCCATCTCTGAACCTTATAAACAGCTTGCCCTCAGAGGCTAACCTCCCTTGTGTTGCGATCGAAACGTCGTGATAATTTTAATAATTAAAAAATATTTTTTTTTTTTCTATCTACGTGACTTTACCAAAAGAACCATAGAATATTATTAAATGCTTTAATGTATTTTTAAATTTGTTTATCATCACAAATTTCTCGTGTTATTATGATACATTTGTATGTATTTAATAGCTTACGTATGTGTAGTGAGTCCAACTGAGCAACACCATTTATTACACCAACTCAACACAACATAACGTAACCTACACTTGGGTGTTGAACGCCCATCTAACCACGCTACGGCACAACTAGACATGGTTCACTATCCCGGTCCGGACCACGAGCTGGGTCCTGGACCGCGTGGCTAGAGGCTTCTTTAACCCGACGTGGATCTTCTTCACCAACAACCCCAAGAACCCCTCGCCCCTCACGGGGCCCCCGTTATATCGGCCCGGGCTGGGGCTGGCTCCGCCCCTCGCCCCGCCCACCTTCTAGATCTCTCGAGCTCTTTCCCAAAGGCTCTCGAGAGCTCCTTTATACCACGTGACCGCCCAGCGGCCCCCGTCCATCGGTGGCCCCCCTCCAATATCATCCGGTCACGTGTCGGCAGGTCAACCAGCGTATCATGCCCCAACATAACCCTGGCTGGCTAACACTCCCTCTCGCTCCCTCCCCGGGAGCCCGCACCGCACACTGTATGTGGTGCCTCCGCGCTAACCAGCGTTCACCCAAGCCCCGCTAGGGCTGGTACTACGCCCAGTAACCGGGCTGTGGCTTCGCAAGCCCGGCACCACACAGTGACATTCACAGTCACTACATATGTATTAATACTGATAGGAACCTCCTGGTTACACCAGCCCACAGGAGATTATTGTGTCCGTCCGTCCGTCGTGCATCCAAAAATGGGAGGGGTGGGGCTGGGTGGAGAGGGGAGGGTGGAGGGGGGCTGGGTGGGCAGGGAGGGGCTGGGTGGGGAGGGGAGGGTGGGGAGGGGCTGGGTGGGGAGGGGAGGGTGGGGAGGGGCTAGGTGGGGAGCGTGGGGAGGGTGGGGAGGGGCTGGTCACCCCGTAGTGCCCTTATAAAACTCAACGTTTAACATACTCAGGCCGGCTTGTGCCCGCCCTCACAGCCGGGCATATTTGCGGAATACACCAGGTGGTGCCGCCGTTGACCCTGGCTATTGACCGAGCAACCCAACGTTCCTACCAGCTCCCTTCGCAGGAATGTATTTTAAGCTAACTCATTCCAAAGCTATATTTTCGTAGGCCAATATCATTATCCGCAAAATGTTCTATTCACGAGCATGTCCGGAACGGATCCCTCGCGAATAACGAGGGAATATCGTATGTGAAGGCTAAATAAACATAGCAAATGCAGTTTGTTGTGTTTATATTGCACCACCAGCCTTGCCAGCTCAGTGTTTAACTCCTAAACCAACGAGCCATTTTCATGTAACTGGTGCTTTACACCTTAATTGCCAAGCCATCCCTCTGGGGATTGGTTTGGAAAAATATACAGAGCTACCTACTCTTTCAGTGCTTGTGTTATACTATGTGTTTTACATACCTATAAGAGATCTTCGTTCAGAATATATTACTGTAAATATATGATTGCTCCATCGTTAGCTGTATAGCTGTCTGGAGCTTCAAATGATAAAAAGACAGTTTTGCTCTAACCCTTGGTGCTTGTCGCTCAATATAAATATAACGGGCAAAAATATAAAAAAACTAATTCGTAAAAATGTCAACTCATATGAACTAAAAAGAAATGCCTTAAGCAGAGAGGTGGTACAATATGCATCATGATGTTGCTTTTGAATGCAATTGCACAGCTATGTCTAAATAAGTTTCAAGTTTTCAAGTTTTATTTATTAGGTATAGCCCTGTGAGCCATGCGGCTCTTGAGTCGGGTGCAACCGCAACAAACAAAATATGAACAGAGAACATCTTAAAGTGACGACGTGCAACAGAAACATCCTGGATAAACCAGCAAATCTTCTAGGAAATCCCCCCCCCCACCGTATTACAACGCTGTGTGCAAAAATCCCAGTGTGATGCAAGTCAAACAATAACAACCATAAGACATATTCTTGGTTCTTTCGGTAAAGTCATTTTACCGAAAGAACCAAGAATATGAATCCCTGCAGTCACGAAAGCTTTAAATCAAAATTTAACCATACGACAATTTAGATTAAAGTTATCAGGCCAACTCCGCACTTCCGCAAGAAACATGGCTTAACCATATGTTTTCGAAATCACCAAAATAAAGCTATAAAAACAATGTAACAACAACAGCAATCAAGGGAACTGTGATTCAAACACTGCATCGCGTATATGCGAGCTTATGCACGTAAGTATTGCCGTGAGTATGCTCACCGCTCACGATGTTCTTTCCATTGCGCGCAAACTGGATGGAGTGGCAAGTCATGTTGGGCACAGTGATCCGCAGCAGCTCTTTGCCCGACTGTGTGTGCCACACACGTATGTCCTGACTTGAGCAGGTGGCGAACAGCTCCGATGTGCCACTGGTTATACAACAAGAAAGAATCAGTCAACCTTTTTATACTACCGTTTTCCTTCGGATTATAAGACACAGTTATATCCCCTGTGGTGTACTAGTTAGGAATACTGGACTTACAATCCAGAGGTCACTGATACGATGATCTCCCAGTACGGCAGTTAAATAATTGCCGCAAGTTTCTTAAATCTTCAGCCTCTGACCATTCCACGAGTATAAATAGGTATGCCACAGTAAGTTGATCGGCAGGTAATATAGTGTAGCAAAGTCTGTATACCCCCACCTCTTCCAAGATGTCTGGCCAGCATGGAAACGTAGACCAAACTACCCTCTCTCAAACTCTCTCTAGTGGAGGGACTTCTGCCAGGAGTGGCGTGAGCAAGTATTTGCAAGGCTGCACCTATCCCATTATGTACCGTAATTGAAAGCAAAGTTGGGGGTGCATCTGTAATCCAGTAGTTGTTTGTATGTAACCAGATTAGTACAACGTTATTCAGAATCAGAAAATGTATTTAGACTGGAGGAATCCGTACAGCTACAAAGCTCTTTTTCACAAATGTGCAGAACGGGGGCGGGCCAGAGAGTTACAACAACAAACGATACAAAAAAAACGATTTGAGTGCAACGTATAGGAAGGCTCAGAAAGTCACTAAATATAAATGGAAACTTTAAACGCGCATGCCCTCTGCATCAGTCAGTTTGTGGAACTTTTGTACCAAACTGAAACAAGATATGGAAACTTCGTCTTGTACACTGAAGTGCGCAGGCTTCGCGGTAGTAAAGTACTGGACCACTTCTTGGCACTACTATTGACAATCAAGTAGTTCCTTGCTCATAAAGCATTTATACTGGGAACAAGAGTGCACCATACTGGAGAATACGTTTTAATCTTAAATCCCACGACAAAAGAAATGTATGCTGGATACATAATAATCTGGTTACTCACGTTTCTCTAAAAAAGAGAGAGAGATACAATAGGCCTTCTAAATTGAATAAAGGTATCATTCATTTTCTTGATTATGCATTTAATGTCTTTACACATCGCATCCCAACTGACGTATTGACCTCGGAGCTCAGAACGTAGGATTTTCTCATTGAGCTCTTTCTAGGGACGAGCACGACACATCATGCTGTGAAATGACCCACAAGAGAGAAGCAACATCTCTTAAGGGTCATTTCAGCAGGTCTCTCGTACTGCAGCCACAAGAGCCACTACATTATGTAGACAAATGATTCCACTCTGTGAGAGTCTATTGACACATTAAGTCATTAAAACTGTGAAAAAAGAGGATGCGAGAATATTACTTTACCGATACCCAGGGATCAGTTTTAGCGCAAATGAGGCTCAAGCCCATGATCTCAGCAGTTCTCACTCAGTGCTCCAATAAAGATCGCAGCCTTCCTAGCACCACGGTGGCGAGATGTTAACTAACTCGTCTGGTATACGAAAGGTCGTGGGTTCGATTCAGACTCTGACACATGTAAAGTATATTTGGAATTTGCATATTCTCCCTGTGGTCGCGTGGACTTTTCTCGTGACGTCAGCAGTCACACTGCGTGACGCTGCCGCATGCAGGTGACATCACAGATGTGACGTCACCGCTCACTTGCAGTGCAAAATATATCCATTATTGCGCCCCCCCCCCCCAAAAAAATATACAAAAGTCTATTTTTATACTTTTTTGCATTGTGTACAGTCTGGAAGCTACCCACATGCCAAATTTTAAGTTTGTTGCATGTTGGGAAGTATGCTAAACATTTCAAACAGACACACATATTCACAAATTTCCCTTTTATATATAGTTAATTTCAGAAATTATATAAACAATTTAAATATATATGAATTATGACTAATAAGATTCATGTTTAAGTAGACAACAAAGAAAAATTACATTTAAATCCACAAAAGGCAGTAATTTCCTTCTTAAATGAGCATTAAGATGATGCTCATCTCCTGTTTACAACCCTGAGCCAGTGGTGGGAATTTCACGTTGCTATTGCAGGGGCGAGTCTATCCGTACGAGAACCACTGTTGACTTCCCCACAAATCAGTACCCTTTTTATCGACTCAAAATGTGAGCCTGCTTGCTTTACTACTGAGCTACCAGAATGACAAAAAAATACATTCACCTCACCCACGTGATCACGTGCTCTAAAGCACGCACTCACACTGCTGTTCTGCTCACACTGAACCAAAATGGCGCGAAATGTACCATCATCACCCAGTTTCTAGTGAGAACAAAAATATTGCAGACACCCGCAGGTGTCCCACGATAAACATGACTCGACCCACACTTGAACCGCAAGGCGTATAAACGTCTTTGGACCGACCTGAAACCGCCCTGTTTTGCAGGTCACCTGCAGGTCGCCGCATTGCTGGTCTATTGTTAAAAGGTGAAGCTGTGCAGTTACTTGAGGCTCTATAGAGTCCTTCTAGTGTAGCTTGACCCACTCTTTCACACTGGTCAGACTTTACGCCACAGGATGCGACTTGTCGATCTACTGACTATGGTGTACCCATTTATACTGCTGGGTGGACAGAGATGTGGTAAATTTGAATAAACTCGCACCGTTATTTCAGCTGCCGTGCCGGGAGATGAATTGCACTGCTGACCTCTGGATTTCGAGCCATGTGTGCTACCCATTACACTATGACAGCATCCCGTTCTATTATTATTATTATCGTAAAACAAAAAAAAACACACGATTGAAAGCAGCCTTACAATGGAAAAGCAACGTCGTTGACGGGCTCGCTGTGGCACGTGGCGATCATCTCATGAGTGAACTCTGGCAGGTTGAACTGATAGATCTGAGCCACCGCTGTTCCAGCAAAGAACTGGTGACCCTGGCCACGCAGGGAAATGGATGTCACTGCACCCTCCAGTGCCACCTTTCTGAACGCGAGAAAGCAAAATGCATCAGTGGGAAGCCAGAACAAAAAAAATGAAAGGCACAGGTGCATTCTAAAATTATTACACTCAACTGCATTCAACAAATGTTTTGTATTAGCTTGCTTGGAATATATATATGTATATAATTATGAATGCACCTGCACACCACTTTTACACTGTGATACAGTACAATTCTCAAGTGGATTCTACTCGAGCAATGCATGCATATTGGTAGGTCCACTTAAAAGACAAAAACACAAGGGATAATACATCAAATTCCAAATTATTTTGTTCACATGTTATATTTTTTTGGCATATACACGTGACTGGCGTGATTTCTGCTTATTGATAAAACATTTATAAAACTGATGCTGTCTACTTAATTGCTCATAACTACAGTATATAAAACGAATAATAATACATCACATTAATTGAAAGCCTTTGTGACTGCACTCCTGGATGCAGGCCTACCCATACAGTGTCAGCCATGAGGAGATTATTTGACCACACTTCACTATTTTGGGCAAAAAAGTGGTTAGTGTGAAAGACAGAAGTCCAGAATTGATTAGACATCGCTCAGGAATGATGTCAGCTGTGGCTGGGTATCGAAGTCAGGTTACTTGATTTATAGCGTAGTGTGCTAACCACTGTACCAGAACTTAATCCGTTAAAGTATAACAACTAGATTAATTTCATATACTGTATGCTATCATTGCATTAAGAATCACATTCATAGTGGATTTTTGGTTTAGGCCACAGAATAATCTGGCCAAATGTCTGTCATAAGGCCTACCATCACCTGACATTGGCAAACAATTTAAACTGCCATGTGTACAAGCATTTAATCGCCAATTATATATTTTTCAACTCGCCGGTAAGTTGAAGAACAATTTTCATAACCAAATCTATAAATCTGATACTACATCTCAGTTGTTGACATATGACAATGGTAGTATGTCAATTAACCATTGTAAATGTGAACATTTCGCGTAATCTCAAGTTAACATGATACTGCTATCCCACTACAGGCGAGTAGATTCATAGGTAGCATATAATGCTCATCATTGGTGTGGGTAAATTACAAGACTGTACAATTTGAATATATTAATTTGTAATTGTTGTTCTTCTGATGTCGTAAAAAAGTCAGATCAGGTGACAAGGTTATTCTGACTTCCTGGATTTTACTCTCGAGTTTCTGGATTTTATCCTGAAGATGCTTGCTTGACATCATTTCAAGTAAACTTTGTATCTAATTGCTAAGTTTGAGTGTGAACATTGTTCTTCAATTCACAGGTCAGCTGCAACAATAATAATTGAAAAAGTAAACACTTGTACAACAAGTTATAAAGTATTTTGTTTGGCTATCTCAGGTGGTGAAAGGTCTTACAGCAGAAATGTAGCCAGATCATTACGTAGCCTCGCCCAAAAATCAATTATGAATATATTGGCTGAGAAAACCTACTGTATGTGTCAGGTGTTAATTGTATACATGTTAATATTTAGCTAATATTTAAAATTCAGTTGACAACATTCGATATCATTAAATGATACAACATTTAATGTTAAAATTGTATGCCTACACACCAAAACCATGATAAAAAAATTATGCACATCTACATTAAAGAGTGGTGCTTGAACAGTGAACATGATAACAAATATTGGCAGCCATTTTAGTTTCTGAATTCAGAAGATGATCCAGATGCATGTCACCAACATGTGAAGCTCACTGCACTCTTAATGTAGCTATACACAAATTGAACCTTGTGCTGCTTTGTTGTAAAGCTCAAGAAAAACAGTGCAATTATCCTGAACTGTTGCACAAAATAATATTGTTGTCCATGTTGCTCTTGATTAAGCATTGGCTTTCATATGGAGCAACTTTGAAGGCCGAATAATGTCAGACCTGCATCATGCACCTTTTAAAAAATGCTATTCAAATGTTTTTCTTGGACAAGCAACAAGTGGTCTGATTGGCTGGCTAAGGTAAGGTGATCATCATGGCAATATGACACAACACATTAACAACCTTTTGCGGACTCAATGAGTCGTTCTCAGTAACCTCGTACACGTAAATATTGCCAAGTATAGTAAAGGTGCACTTGACAAATGTAGTGTGTAATACTCGGCCTATCACTAATGCTGCTGAGAATGTGACTGAGTTGCTATGCCTTTTTCTGAAAAGATAACATTTTGTACAGGGGACAGCGATTCCGCTATAGACAATGTATAATGATTATAAATCTCATGAGTGACACTTACTGCATTGTCTTGAAGTTGGCTTCCTTGCAAAGTGCAACCACACCATCTCCTGTACCAACCAAAAGCTCTCCAGACTTGAGGAGACTCAAGGCTGTTACTCCCTACCAGGGACAAACAGGAATTGGATTGTTTGTTAATGGAAATGCCCATTAGATTTTTGCTTGAATCAAATACAGCTCTTTGGAACCATTCAGAACTACAATGACAATTAAGCACACGATGCAACATATAATTGGAGATGTAATGCTCACTAACAAGAACACTGTTTTATCAGGATACATTGCAGGATGATGAGCGATGAATAAAACAGGTGACAATGGCAGCCAAATAATGTGAATCTAATCTCTCTCTCTCTCTGTGTCGTCGTGTTGTTGCTCTATTATTCCCTGCAGTCACGAAAGCTCCAAATCTCTCATTGACATGCTAATTTATCTACCCGCCCCCTCCTCTCTCTCTGCCCCCTTCTCTCTCTATTTAAGGCCTCGACACAGGCTTTGTTTCTCTGTGTGCCTATGTTTGTGTCTCTCTCTGTGTTTCCGTGTTATCTCTCTCTGCTTGTGTGTCTGTCTATGTGTCTCCGTGTCTGTGTTTTGTCTCTCTCTCACATTTAGCAATCTTTGGAAGAACGTAATCAACCAGGTATGGTGTTGACTGTTATGTTAGCCAACTCTCTGTGTTGTATTGCATTATATTTCTAAGTTTTACTTTGTTTTTATTTTTCTCTTTCATTTGTACCTGATGATGATTGCTTGTGTTGCAATCGAAACGTCGTATGCTATTATTTTATTTATTTTTTATTTCTACGTGACTTTACCGAAAGAACCAAAGACACACTTATAACAATTGACCCTTGTTCAAGAGTCTCAAGATTGTTTGGAAAGATCTTGCATAGAATGCATGGGCAGTTTATTTTAGTTAGTCTAAATCTGTTTAACACGTAGGCTTTCGCGACCAATATTATTCATAATAAAGGTTTTTGGGTTAGATCGCGTTTATTTATAAATGTGTCGTAACCCTCTACCACCCGACACGGCCAATCAGCAAAAAAGTGTCACGTTGACAAAAGACAAATAATTCATCCAGCGAAACGTCGTACTTAAACTGTAAATGTGGATTCACTCTTCAACACACCGGTGGGCTAAAGTAGTGAATTATTTGTCTTTTGTGAACGTGACACTTTTTTTGCTGATTGGCCGTGTCGGGTGGTGGAGGGTTACGACACATTTATAAATGAACGCGATCTAACCCAAAAACCTTTATTATGAATAGTCTAAATCTGTGGACCAAATATAAACGTCTGTGATGTCCACGAGAGAAAATAGCATTTTTGGATAAAAATTACATTTTGAGCTAATACATAATCAGAGACATTCTAAGTTCATTTTATTTTTGTCATATATCTCTAATTTAGGTTGCAATGGCAGAGCGTTTGACTCACACATATAATGTTCTGAGTTCAAACTGACTTGGCCATCAAATCTCCAGAGCCTCTAAAATAATAAGTCATATTTTTAAAAACTTTTTTTAAAATACGCTTTCATTAAATGTACCCTACTCATAATGGCAGAACTCCACGACTCCAGGAAGTGACCCCGAAGCTTGCCTTAACGTAAGGGGCCATGGTTATTTACAGCCAACGTCAGTTGAGTGTGGACAATTAGACCCAAGCCGAAACATAACATATGAAAAGAATGTTACAAAATATATAAGTTATATTTTTATGATAGAATATAGTATTGTCATCAGTATGACAGAAGTATACCAAGTTTGCAGTCGATACCACATTGGGAAGTGGGTTATAATTGAGTTACAAGATTTGAGGATACAGCAACAACAGACAGAGTGAGTTAATAATAAAAGGCGTGTAATAAAAACACTTTGTTGGATGTCCACAGTAGTTGTCATGTGGAAATACTGGCCCCATCATGTTAATATGGAATTCACATGATTGACTCCGGTACATTAATGAAGATGAGAAAGGCCATATACTTGTATGGCACCCTGTTATTTATCGGAGTTATGCAGGCCTGTCGCCAATGATCGGAAACAACAACACCTTAGATCTGCTGATCTTGGTAATCTTGTTGTTGTTACACAAACCCCGCCTAAAGACGACTCGTGAATGCGCTTCAGAAGATGGGTCCTTTCACGTGGATTTTACTACCCGACAAACTCAAGAACACAAAACCTTGAATTCAACCACTTCAAGAGAGACCTTAAATTAATTTAAGAAACAGTGTGACGAGACAGAATGCGCATTAGAGATGCTATTAGCATGATTTGCGTTTCTTAAATGACTATTTACATTACGTTACATGAGCAGGGGGATACATTTATACAAAATCCAACAACAAATTATAAAAGAGTAACATTATACGAACCAAGTTAAATAAAAAAATAAATGTTAAGTGGTGTAATGTTCTGAAAAGAATATACACAATGCCAATGAGAATATTTGAACGGTCCCCGTCACACTGCTGAATTGGTTAAAAGAACTGCAGGAAATGTGGATGAATTATTCGCCGTGAAGAGGAGTATTGATGAGCGTGTCAAATCATGAGGAAACAACTTCAACATTTGCAGTGTGCCACATGATCGAATCCCAGGGGTAATAACACCAAACGGTGACATGAGGGCAGTAGGGAGCCCAACATTTTTACAATACCTATGCCTTGGAATAGATGCATTACCAAGGAGATGACATTAAAAAATATATATCGTTTTTCGACCACGTGGATTGGACAGTGTTTTTTTCAATTTTTATAATATCAAATCGTTGTTTTTGTTGTTTTTTCTATTACATTCATTAAAAGTATATACATTTGCAACTTAATAGCATGGACATGGAGTGGGACAGAGCATCATTGGCAGTCATGGTTAACATCAATTCAGGGTGATATCCAAACCAATCCTGGGCCCCTCATCTCACTGCACTTGCCCAACGAGCGTTACACAACCTCCATTACCAAGAGCGAGTAAACAATAAAAACAAGTAAACGAAAGCATATAGTCAGTCTAATATGTATTTTTGTGATTTCAGGCGGTCTAAGCTTTTTGGTCATAAATCTTACATTCAAGATGAAACGTCGTGATATTTCGTCGTGATATTTGTATTATTGTTCTATCTACGTGGCTTTACCGAAGGACCCATAGAATATGTATTCCTGCAGTTCAAAAGCTTTAAGTCAATGATACGTATGTTTATGGCTTTCACCACATTGTAGTTTTATGCCATTTTTTGTCATTAGCACTCCACTACCCCATAAAATTGTCACATTTACAGATATCACTTATGCTTGCCAATGTATTGATCAAAATCTGACCAATATCAAGCAGTGTGCTTAAGCAGTGTGCTGCTTCAGATGAAACAGCACTCATGCCCTGTTCCATGCTGCACACGTATCTCACCCACCGTGACATCTTCCCGATTAAATCTACAATGCTTTCCTATCATATTTTGTTGTGAACTTCACCATTGAATTACAAGGTGCAGGATTCGATTTATGAGTGTGGAATTTTCCTGACAACATTTGTTTCCAAATAGAAATCTACGTATCAATTACAGCATGAAAAACATGTTGAATTTACTGTAAAGCAATAAAGCAGAATCAGCCAAATCAGGATTTGAATTTGTAAACTGGTAACTTAATAGGGTCACCATCAGTCTCTAAGCACCCTGAGACATATCATTCACGCATTTTTTTGCCTGAATTTTTTGGTTTACTGTTACTGGCACGTTTTACATTTCTAAAGTTAGGTAATTATGAGGTCCAGGATTAAATTCACAACTGGGGAATTTAAGCTTTTTTCACCATAAAAAATATGTTTGTAAAATTAAGTCTGGTAAATATATAATATTTGTGTTAAATAATTAAAATATGTGTTTGTGTATTTGTTTTGTGTATTTATGTTTAAGCTCAGTAATCTTTTAATGTTTCCTTTGAAAGGCTCGAGGTGATTTTCAATTTCATATGCGAGTAGTTCATCTACTGGCCCATTGGTTACAATCTCCATTCACGTGGCAGAGGTATGGGCAGAACAACCACCGCTGACTTCCCACAAATTGCTTCTCATTTATCAAGCCTGTAGGGTAGAAAGGTTGAGTCTACGCTTGACTGCGATATAAACTTGCACCTTCCAATTGTGAGCAGCATATTCTAACCACTGTTCCCCCTGGGGCCTTGATATGTACACAACAACTGCCATTCGCCACTAAGTGGCGGTGACATCACCACGACGCTTGTGCCAGACTATGTGCACGTTGAGGCCGTGAAGTATCAAACGCCCACTGGCAGGAGGTCACGAGGCAGACCCAGGTGCCACGGGTCGACTGACTGAGATGACTGGCTGATGCATCACCTGTGCCCCCTACTGTGCCAACCTGCTGTGCTTTAGCGACCCGGCGCTCCGCTCGTTGTTGTGAGCCTCCTCCACAGAGGCCAATCTTGACACTGCTGGTACCAGTCATCGACAAGTCCACTCAGCTCCACATCCTCCTGTACCACATCACTCCATCTCTTCTTTAGCCTGTGCTGCGGCCGTTTAGCCCCCTCTATCCGGCCGAACAAAAGCTGTTTAGGCATGCAGTGGCTGGCCATGTGGGCTACATGATCCAGCCAATGCAGCCTTGCCTGCCGGAGGAGCTCACCGATGGAACTTTGTCCAGATCTTTCAAGGATATGTGAGCTCCTCACACAATCCAGCCTGGTTAAACCCAGGATGGATCGTAGGCAGGCAAGCCTAAATGTTTCTAACCGGCGAAGATGTTCCATTAGGGGGGTCCACGTTTCGCAAGCATAGAGAAGGGAGGGAATGACTGTGGCCGCGAAGACCTAAAGCTTCGTGCAGAGCGACAGATCAGGTAGCTTCCACACAGCGTTATGCAACCAATGAAAAGATAATGCCACTCGACTGATTCAGAGTGAGACCTCTGCTGTCAAACCGGAGCCGGTCATGAGCACACTGGCCAGGTATGGGAAACTTTCCACTCTCTCCACAACTGCCCTATCACCAATTGGGAGTTGTGGGGGTGGAGTGTCCAATGCTACAAAATACCCAGGCAGGTGCTTAGTTTTGGTGGTGGCTGATGGTAAGTCCCCACCTCTTAGTGGCAAGCTCCAGGTTCAGCAGCAGTGCCTCCATCTCCTCCTCTGAGTGAGCAGCAATTTTCCAGATCATCGGCATACATAACATGGTTGAGCAATAGGGAGCCATCCCTTGACCGCACCCAGGCATCGATCAGTCTCCCATTGTATCTGTACCAGATGGAAATTTCTCCGGTACAACTATTGAAAGCTTCACAAACTACGTGGTCGAAATCGATGTTCAATAATTAATGTGGGAGCCAGAGGACATCCCTGTCGCACCCCAAGGTGAACAGGGAATGGCTCCAACTCCCAGCCACGTAGTTTTACCCGGGCCCACTCACCATCATGAAGGTCCTTAATGATCATGAGCAGGTCAGGGACTCCAAAAGCACGAAGAAAAACCCAGAGCCCAGGCCTACTGATGGTATCATAGGCCTTGACTAGGTCAATAAAGCAGAGATGTAGGTCTTGTTGGAATTCTTTACATCTCTGCTGTAGCAGACTGACAGAAAATATGGCATCTGTGCAGGACCGCCCTTTCCTGAAACCACATTGGGGCACCACAAGCCTCTCCTCAGCGTGCCTGGCAAGGTGATGTTGAATAATCCTTGCCAGGACCTTTCCCGGCATACTGAGGAGTGAGATGCCCCTGTAGTTGTTACAGTCTCTGCGGTCCCCCTTCTTAATGTGGGAGCCAGTTGAACATCTCTGTCGCACCCCAAGGTGAACAGGGAATGGCTCCGACTCCCAGCCACGTAGTGTTACCCAGGCCCACTCACCATCATGAAGGTCATTAATGATCATGAGCAGCGGGTCAGGGACTCCGAAAGCACGAAGAACAACCCAGAGCCCAGGCCTGCTTATGGTATCATCAGTCTTGACCAGGTCAATGAAGCAGAGATGTAGGTCTTGTTGGAATTCCCTACACCTCTGCTGGTGGTCCCCCTTCTTAAATAGGGGGACCACCAGGGCATCCTTCTAATCCTGTGGAACCCATCCAGTGGTCAAGACCGTTGTTATGATGTCATGTAGGGCAGTGATGTCATGTAGGGCAGTCTGTGCACAAATGCCACCCTCCCTCAGCATTTCGCTTGGGAGATCATCTCTGCCTGGTGCCTTTCTCTGGTCTCAGGCTCTGGATCACCTTCAGTACTTCCTCAACAGATGGCACCTCAGCCAGCCATTCATAGGGGGTGACTTCTTCCAATATTTGAGGCACCGCAGCCTCAGCAAATGGGGTTTGGCGAGAAAGACGTCATAGACACCTGTCCCCCTGGGGCCTCCTACCTCCTCGTGGTGCCGCAAGGCAACGCTGTGGTGGGCAGTGCCGTGGGGGGATGGCCAATTTAGATTGGCCTTTCCCTTCATGGCCATTGTAACCACCACAGTGGCCAAATGGGGGCTCTGGATGGGTGCGAGGGGCTGGTAACCCCTCCACCTTCAATTAATTACCACCAAACCACGATTAAAAATATATATACGTACACATACAGTATATAACATGCATGCGTCGGTGTCTTGATAAGCCAGTTTTATTATGCGGTCTACTATAGACTGCATATGTTTTCCCGATTGTGCTGTAGGGCTCTCCGATGTGTTTCTGGGTTGTACTATGTTTGTTGTTCGGCATTTAGGTACGACGTTTGCTCCTGAAGGATCTCCCAGCAAGTGAAGTGAAACATTGGACATCGTGCCAAACAACACACGGTACAACCCAGAAACACATCCGAGAGGTGTAAAATAGAATACAATTGTAGATTTGTGTATTTTAAAACGAGGTTAGAGCCCAACTGATATATATATATATGATCTAATATATTATATAAAGGTCATATTTATGCACTCGTATTTCCATGAGTCCAGACTAGATATTTAACTCATCAGTACAACACGGGGTGACATCACTTTCATGGTTTCAATGTCGTTAAGTGACCAACAACAGTGAATAATGTGGTAACCATTTTAAATCAGTGTGGTTATCAAGTAATTCATTCGTATTACACATTGGTATCGCTAAAGTTTTGCTACCTTAGGTGATACCAATTTCTGCTCCGGCTTACGGACGAAATACAAACTTGATTTGACGTCTTCGTAACTGCAGGAATTACTCTTTGGTTCTTTCGGTAATGGCACGTTTCCTACGTGACTTTACCAACAAGTGGACTACGTCCACTTATGCAAGTCGTGACTGAAAACCAAACTCAGATCATTGTGTTCATAGCACAGTGCACTAACCAGAATGCCACCGCTCCACCAAAGTTTCACCAGTGTGACAATACAAATTCCATCTCAAGCATTACAAGAATAAAAAATATAGTAGGTTAACATTTCTGGCAAGTGTTGTTTAATGCAGAGTTGGAAAGTATTTAGATGGAATGACTCATAGCTGGAGACTCCACTTAACACACTTTTGAATGCGTCAGGGGACCACATGTCAAAGTGACATGCATCTATGAATCATGATAGGGAGATCTTATGTCATACAGAGGCTGGAAAGATCATTTATGTAGTTCAGAGCCAAAGTTGTTTCATCACCATTTATTTTTGAAAACATAAAGTCAGTTAAGACTATATTACCTATTGCCCATGATCTGCAACACCATCCGGTGATTCCCACTGAAACTGTGTATAGTGAAATACCTCTGATATGTGACACTCTTTTCCATAATTGATGTCCCAGTTCTTTTGGATGAACCGTTATTCTTCAATATTATCAATTGATCAGCACTCCCATTGATTCACACATATTTCAGATAAGGAGTTAAATATAGGCAATATTTTTTCCTGTTTTCCACAGCAAGATGATGAAGATGATGCTGATAAGATTATGATGACAATGATAATGAAGTTACCCATGGATAACAGGATCAAGCATGGAGAGGAAGAAAGATAATTAAATGACGATGAAGACGATATACATGTTGAGCTTCTTTTTGCACCGTACGTTGCTAACCGTGCAAATCAGGGGTGCGGGGGAAGGACAACACACTAAACACACAAAATGATGATAAATATGCTGGAAAACATGAGATAATCATACCAGGATGATGATGATGATGATATTAATGATGAAGAGGATGGATAATGATAAGACAATAATGTATGTTGGAGATGCAGATTAAAATATGAAGGTGACAATGATGTATGATGAACCGTTTAAAGATGAAGGGGTCACAGCAGAAGGATAGAGCTGTAGTTTCAGCAGTTTCATGCATGTGTGTAACAATGTTAGTGGAAAAGTGGATTGCACTTGGTTTCTGAGGTCAAGACGAGTCAATAAGGTAAACATTTTACTTTGATTTTCAGTGGCTTTATATTTTATTTAAGAAAGACGTGTTACCAGCGTTAACTTGTTCTTCGCCGGACCATAGCTGTTGAGCAGCTTCGTTTTGAGATTAACCTTCAAGATGTCTCCACTTGTGGTGCCACAGTAAAAGAAGCTGTCATCTGGTGCCACCTAGTCTCGGACAACAAGCACCACCACCACCATGACCATTGAGGTTTTTCACAAATAACGGTCTATCCAAATGTATTATTTGCATCCAAGAACAAAAGGGCGACAATTCTCCATTCTGGATCCCTCCACACATCCCCAAGTTCATTGACCCAGAGAGGACATTACAGCTATGAACAATTTAAAAGATTTTGATTTAAAGCTTTCGTGATTGCAGGGATTCATATTCTTGGTTCTTTCGGCAAAGTCACGTACAAGGGAAACAATAAAATAATATATAAAACAATAAAATTCTCACGACGTTTCGACTGCAACACAAGCAATCATTATCAGGTGTGAAAACCACAGCAAGAAAAATTGAAAAAAGTGGCGGTTTTTTTACGTAAAAAAACGCCACTTTTTCAAATTTTCTTGCTGTGGTTTTCATACCTGATGATTGCTTGTGTTGCAGTCGAAACGTCGTGAGAATTTTATTGTTTATTATTTTTTTATTATTTTATTGTTTCCCTTCTACGTGACTTTACCGAAAGAAGCAAAAATATAATTTTTAAGATTTTTTTTTACATAAGCCATTGAAAATTGTGCTGAGGCCATCACACTTCTTATGCACGAGGACCAGCTTAAAATCCAGGAAAGGTGCCACAAGCGAAGGGGAGGCTTCAAGTTGTTGGAAAAATCTGACTGTTAAATTTGATATATCTGGCTTCTGACCCACTCGGTAGGAATGTTTGAGTAATGCCTGAACATAACAAGGCTGGATTGCCAATGTTAATAAATTCACATGCAGAGCACAGTATTAAGCAAATGTTTATTGTTTGAGTTTATTCATTACCAGCTGAATAAATCCATAAAACAGATACTTGACATCAAGGCAAGCCCACACAAAACATTTTAAAAAATTACTTTTACATAACTGTTTATCATAAATAAGTGGCATCGCTACTGATCTGAGGCACCCTGCTATCCAATGCGGTGAAGTAAGACAATACAAAATAAAACCATACAAACTTACATGGAAAACTTGAATCCAATAGTGGATTGAAACATGGCTGTAATTATTATTAATTTCAAAGGAACATCATATCACGCATATAGGTGTGGTTGAACAGATACATGATCTGTTCTGCCACAAGTGCAAGAAGGAATGAGTACAAGGATGGAGGATATCTACTTACCGCCACACACTTGATTATCCTCTTAAGTTGACCTGTCTGGCAGTCTGTGGGGCGAATCTTACGATTGGGGATGTCCAGTTGCCATACCCGAATGGTGTCACTGAGGAATATTATAAGAAGCACATGAAAGTTGATGAGAAAAGTGCAGTTTGCAAAATATGAAGAATGTTTGTGTTGAATTTTGTGTTTCACTCTCACGACAACATATCAAATGTTCATAATAAAGGTTTTTGGGTTAGATCGCGTTTATTTATAAATGTGTCGTAACCCTCCACCACCCGACACGGCCAATCAGCAAAAAAAGTGTCACGTTGACAAAAGACAAATAATTCACTACTTTAGCCCACCGGTGTGTTGAAGAGTGTAAATGTGGATTCAGAGTGTAAATGTGGATTCACTCTTCAACACACCGGTGGGCTAAAGTAGTGAATTATTTGTCTTTTGTCAACGTGACACTTTTTTTGCTGATTGGCCGTGTCGGGTGGTGGAGGGTTACGACACATTTATAAATAAACGCGATCTAACCCAAAAACCTTTATTATGAATAATATTGGTCGCGAAAGCCTACGTGTTAAACTGATATCAAATGTTACTCGATGAGAAAATTAAGCAATTTCTCTCTCAGTACCTCGAGATTGTTATTCAAAAAAGTGTTTTGTTACATCAATATCATAACTGTAAATATGAGAACACTTGAGCAAAGACTGTGGTATCAGTATAAAGTTTGGAGCGCATATGAGACAAAATGTTTCACGCACCTCGAGAAAATGTGCAAACCTTATGAGATACTAAGCAACCAAATACATTTGAAGGGGGAAAATTGATGCTGCTTGCTAACGCACATGTACTCGTGAACTGCTGTGCCAGTGCATCAGTGGTGTTCACCTGAATCAGCCAAAGTGCACATGGCAGTAGCGGCCAAACAACCGATCACTAGGTGCAGCTCAATAATAACATTTCAGTAACTACGTTATTTTGAAGCGGGAGCAGTTCCGGTAACTCGGCCCTGGCAGCGGAGACAGACACGAGTACTCCCGGGATGCTCCTGCAGATTGCTAAATTTAAAACTCCACAGCCAATCAGGGTGAGTGAACCATAACCACCCGAGCTGACCATCGCGTGTGAACTCCTCAGCGCATGTCTTGTGGCTCTCAGCCCTATGAATGCGATGTCACTCATAGCATCTGGATGTTTGACAACCACTGGTATATAGCGAATGAGTCATCCCGTAACCCGGGTTGCCCATAATGACAACACCTTACCCACCGTGGCTTCGTAAGCCCCGGCACCATACAGTGACAAGCACAGTCACTACATCGCACCCCACTTCTGATACCAGTTGTAGTGAGTCCAACTGAGTCGCAGACATTATCTTAGGAACAACACTATTTATTTACACAACAGTATGTAACATAACACAATCAACACTCGGGTATCGAATTTCACTCTAACCACGCTACGGCAGAACTAGACACGGCTCGCTATCCTGGTCCGGACCACAAGCTGGGTCCCGGACCGCGTGACTAGAGGCTGCTTCTCCCCAACGTGGATCTTCGTAACACCAGCACACGAAGAACCTCGAGCTCCTCACGGGGCCCTCGTTATATGCCTCTGGGCTGGGGCTGGCTCCACCCTTCACTCCGCCCACCTTCCAGGTCTTTCGAGCTCCTTCTCGAAGGTTCCCGAGAGCTCCTTTGGACCACGTCACCGCCCCATGGCCCCCATCCACCGGTGGCCCCCCTCCAATATCGTCCGGTCACGTGACAGCAGGTCAACCAGCGTATCATGCCCCAAGGTAACCCTGGCTGGCTGACGCTCCCTCTCGCTCCCTCACCGGGAGCCCGCACCGCACACTGCTCGCGGTGTCTCCGCGCTAACCAGCGCTCACCCAAGCCCCGCTAGGGCTGGTACTACATCCTGTAACCCAGGTTGCCCATAATGACAGCACCTTACCCGCCGTGGCTTCGTAAGCCCTGGCACCATACAGTGACAAGCACAGTCACTACAAATGTAAGCTCGGTGAGGGCCGAGCTCGGCTAGGGCCCGGAAATTTGCTTTGAAATGTAAATGTAAGCTCGGCAAGGGCCGTGCTCGGCTATGGGTTGGAAATTTGAGAGTTAGCTAATATTGGCAGGTAGGAAGGGAACATCAAAGCAGTTAAAATATATATGGTTGATCACGTCCTTCCAATGATTGCTTAATTTGTATCCATCTTCTCGGTTGAAGTTATATCTGTGTTTATAAATCTGGATGGCTTCATGGATAAATCTTTGATGGTAGCCCGAAGGTTTGCAGAGTGCCTTGGTCTCGGAAAAGACAATATCGTGTGAGCCCACCACGTTCAAACAGTGATCAGCCACGGCAGAGGTATTGGTTCTGCCGTGTTTAAAATCTGCCTTGTGTTCGCGAACACGGTCCGAGACATGCCGTTTTGTTTCCCCAATGTAACTGCTATCCCAGACACAACTTAGTTTGTAGACACCAGGGTATTGTATTTCAGGAATCACATCCTTCACAGATGGGATCAAATCACGGATTTTGTGTACTGTGTTGAATCGAACCTGGATCTTGTGCTTGTTCAAAATTTTGGAAATCTTTTTGGTAACCCCTGCTATGTATGGAAAGGTGATGGTTTTGATTGGGTCCTCAGATGGTTCTCTCCCTATGGTTGGGGATACAGCTTTGTGGATTGTGCGATCCGAATATCCATTCATCTTGAGGGCATGGTGTACGTGCTCCAGTTCACTGGATAGGTGGTGCTGGTCGGAGATGCAACGTGCCCTATGGTGTAGTGTTTTGATGAGGAAATTCTTCTGGGCTGGATGGTGGTGGAAATCACGCTTTAGATAGGAATCCGTGTGAATGGGTTTCCCGTAGACAGAGTGTTCCAACGAGCCATCAGGTCTCTTCTCGATCAAAACATCCAGAAATAGTAGCTAGCCATAATTTTCCACTTCCAGGTGAATTTGATGGATGGGTGTATGATATTGATGTGGTTGAAAAATTGGTTCAGTGCTGGCAGGCCATGTGGCCAGATGACGAACGTGTCATCTACATATCTCTTCTGAAGGAAGGACGTAGGGTGGATGTCTGGATGGCATCTCTCTCAAATTTCTCCAAGAAAACATTTGTTACCACTGGCGATAAGGGAGAACCCATTGGGGTACCCTAATTTTGTTTGTAGAATGTACCATTCCAGGTGAAGTAAGTGTTGGTAAGGCAATGCCTCACCAAAGTTGGTACATCAGGATTCAGTCCCTGTTGGACCAAGTCTTCATTTATTGCAATGGTGTCAGGTACCTTGGTGAACAGCGAGACTACATCGAAACTGACAAGCAAATCATCTGGAGAGGACATAAAAACTGGGTGGTCTAGCAGCCGGAGGTTTTAGAGAGAGCTGCTTGGTTGGTTCGATTAGAGAAGTCGAATTAGTGATGATATTGTTGATTTTCGTAGCCAGGCGGTTGGTAGGATTTCTATTGGTTTTGGTATAGCTGCCATCATTAAAAAGGTCCTGAATTTTGTTGTTGCATGTGGTTTTATCAATGATGACAGTGGCATTGCCCTTGTTAGCTGAGAGGATGACAATGTCATCTCTCTTTTCAATTGAGCGAGTTGAAAACGCTCGTCTTTACTGATGTTGCTAATGGGTTTCTTAGCGTTTTTGAGGATAGCAGCAATTTCGGATCTTGCAACGTCTGCCGGGATGTGTCCCAAACCATTGAGGGATATGTCGACTTGGGCAATGATATCATCCACTGGGATGTGTTTTGGGGTGACTGTGAAATTTAACCCTTTAGCTAGTACCGATTTTAGGCTGTCTCTAGCCCCGCCCACTTCACTTATGACCCTTGGGCTCTACTCGTCTCAAACCTTTATAAAATCCTGTCTCAGCAGCTCTCCCGTCATATTTTTCCTGCCTCAGTAGCTCTCCCACTATATTTTTTTCACCTGATGACAATTGCTTGTGTTGCGATCGAAACGTCGTGATGTCTTTTTTATTTTTTTCTATCTACGTGGCTTTACCAAAAGACCCAAAGAATATGAATTCCTGCAGTCACGGAAGCTTTAAGTCAAGATTTAACCACCTATATGGGGAAGGTTTCCACACAACTATTAGATATTTTAACAAACTTTGAGATAAGAAGGCTCATCTGATAGAGTCGCTCACTTTTCTGAAGAGATGCTACGACAATAAGGTAATACCGATCGCCTTTACACTGACATCTGCTGCTGTAACTTCTCCTAATGCTAAACGGATCTTGTTCAGGGCCGGCCTAGCCCTGATCTCAGAGAGAATAAGTTTGCACCGATTTGAACTAGACAATTTAGACAAGACTCTCTTGCAATCACACTTAACATTGACAGACCATGTAGATAACATGACAGCCTCTTCAGCCGCCTCAATGTCAGCTAAATGCAAAGATAACCTGATTTCCAAGTTCAACCTCCTTTCCAAGAAGAAGCCAGATCCACACATTAAAAAGTTAGACGGTGACAAGATTAAATTTTGATTTAAAGCTTTCGTGACTGCAGTAATTCATATTCTTAGTTTTTTCGGTAAAGTCACGTTGAAGAGAAACAACAAAATAACAAAATATATATAAAACAATAAAAAATTCTCACGACGTTTCGACCATAACTCAAACGGTCATCATCAGGTGTGTCGGTTTGCATAAATTTATTTAGAAAACGGCATATTTATTTATATATATATATTAAAAAAATAACGTTTGCGTCACGCGCAACGATTGGCAGTTTGCCCAGGACTAGTCCATCTATTTTTTGAAAAGAGGAGGGGGGAGACGAAATTTGTTTTTATGTATGCTGTCTGAAAGCCACTGTAAGCGTGAACAATCAATCAAGAACTGAAATGATTTATCAAATCTTTCCAATGATTGCTAAGATAGAATCCATCTTCTCGGTTGAAATTGTCTCTGTGCTTGTATATGTGGATAGCCTCATGAACGAATCTCTCATGGAAGCCAGATGGCTTACAAAGAACCTCCGTCTTGGAAAAGTCAATGGCATGTGAGCCTACTGAATTAGAACAATGATCTGCTACGACCGAGGTGTTGGTCCTACCGTGTTTAAGGTCTG